ACAGAGAGAGAGAGAGAGAGAGAGAGAGAGAGAGGGAGGGAGAGTTTAAGAAAGGAGATGGAGAAAAAAAACAATAGGTAGCATGAACTTTGACTAGATGTTGTTGAGGGGAGGCTCTTTCTCTAACCACACACAACATGGTGTTACTTCTCACTCGACTCTATTCTTTGTCAATATTTTGCACGTACAGTGTACTAAAGTTGAGCCCATTCGACTTTACTATTCAACATTCAAATATTCGAGGCGTATTCGAATGCTGTGTGATTAATACGGACTTAAAATCGTCTACTTTTTTTTTTCAACCTGTCGTAAAATTAGAGCATAATAATAATAATAATAATAATATCATATCTAAAATAACTAAAGTAAGTTCTGAAATTACTTTTAGTCGACTTTTACTGAACAAACAGATAAGAGAATAGCGCCTTGAACAGTATAGTGAATTGAATAGCAAATGTTGCTGATGGGTTTTTTATAAAAAGTGTTTAATTTTTTTTTGTCTCTCGAAGTCCAACCCCTCGTCCACGCCGTGGAAGATGCAAACAGGACAAAGTAGGGGATAGCTGGGTCTGGGTGAAGTACGGTGTGACTTTATGTCACTGAGGCGTTACGCTAGCCGTGAAGGCCGACCCGGGTCACCCCGAAACGTTGCTGGCCAACGGGGCTCTGGTGAAACTGCGACTGGCTTAGCAGGCCGGCAGTGGATTTTAATATTGCTCAAGAAAACATAAGGAGACACAAAAAGTAGAAATTTAATTTTTTTTTTTTTTTAAAGAAAAACAAACATTCAGAAACATCATTCGAATAGCACGAATATTGACTTCATGCTCAGAAGAATCGATGAAATTCCGTTTCCCCCAAATGGCGCAGCACTATAGTCCGTCCTAGTTTGTCCCCGACAGCAAGAAACACTTCGACTAGCCCTGTACCCATCGCCGTCCGTTACCTCCAAAATTCAATTACGAACACAAAGTGGCATACCACTCTCCCACCAGGCCCAGCTCACTTGTGTTGGGATCCGACCTCGTTCTGCGGCCTGCGGTAACACTTAACACTCCTGGAGAATTCGTTCTATTTACGTTCCCTCGTTCGTGAATTGTTGTTAAAAACCAAAAAAAACAACAACCCAGCAACAACAACAGTAAAATACTTCTGGGCTTATGAAAAATAAAAAAGAAGCACAAATGTTATATATTTTACTAATCAGATATTATTTGGAGTACTTACTGTATAATGAATAGCAGAAGTATGTTTATGTCACATTTCGGATGGCTACACGTGGATTTTAAATTGGAAAAAATATACAAGACGACATCGGTTTGCTTGCAGCAAGCAGTAAAGGAAAGTAGGGCACAGATCTCGTCATCGACACATTGTAAACACACGTGTAAACAAACTAAGTGGCTGGAGATAACAACTGGGGAAAGCAAGACAAAACCTATTTGTGCAGATAAGATTTTCGACTAGTGGTTCTGTGTTTAACATTTACGCAGCAAGAGCTTCTTGTATTGACTCGTATGCCACTGTGAAAGTGAGGGAGGGGGGGGGGGGGATTAGTAAACTAATCATTTTACCCGCACTTAATTCAACACAATCTATATCATTTACCAGGCGGACTACTTCGGCCCCTATTGTTCGAAACAACCTGGCCTAAAATAAAATATTATGTTCCACCAGACAGACGGAGATACTCGGGGGTAAAAAAAAACCTCTCTTCCTAAAGGAATCGAACCCTTGACCTTTGCGAGCGACGGCGAAGCACTGAACCGCTACATCGTAGACAACGGTGCAGATAGGGATAAGTAGGAAAAAAGCGGACAAGAAGGTAAAAGTACTCATGTACTGAGAAGCTGGAAGGAAAGGAGTCAAAGAAAGAGAGAAAAAAATACGTCACTTTCCAGTAAATAAGAGACTTCCGCTAAAATTGGAAGTTGTTGTAACATTGTATATAGTTTCCATGATGTACCCATATCCCATTTCATCTCACCCCCCCCCCCCCCCCCCCCCAACCACACACACAGACATACATACACCGCACAAACACTCACTCACTCAGACACCCCCTCCACACACACTCACATGATTTCTTACTTAAAAGGGTAAACAGTGTGACGTTGGGTATAAAATTGTTCGATTATCCCGTGTCTACAGCATCATGTCGGGAGAGAAATCAAAGTGATGAATACATTCCTACACATATTCAACTGGAAAGGACTTTGTTGTCAAATGAGCTAGACATGCGTTATTATAATGGAAACTGCGGGTGTTTTACGACCCCTTCGGTACCATCCAGATTATTTAGGAAGCGGGCTGCATCGACCCTGCCTGTGAGAACCAACCTGGGCAGAGAAGGATACAACGTCTCAAAAGAGAGTCGGAGATTTTCAAATTTTTTTTTTTTACCTCTCAACGTGGGAATCGAACACACGTCTTATTTCTGTGTATGCGACGACTAAACGCCGTATCCAGTCCACATTGCCCATTTGGTACATTTGATTCATTGGATCCAGTCGCAGCCAACCAGATTTTCCGTCCTGGAAGGACAAAAAGCTACCACTTTGGCACAATTCAATCAAATCCTGCGAAATCAAGTATATGTGGATGCGATAATGAACGACGTTAACTAGTTTCAGACATTAATAGAAAGCTATTGAAATTCCGTGTGTTTGTATGATTCTCAAGAACCTCTTTCAACAGTAACCACGATATGCCGCAGACGGCACCCGGCCTCAGTGCTTTCTTATCGTATCTCCATTTTTAATAACAGTGAAAACAGTTCATAACAAAGAGTGGGGTTAAATAGAAGTCCCAGTTTCACTGTTAAAAAATGGAGATATACGACAAGAAAGCGCTGAGGTCGCGCGGCAAATGAAGGAAATGGCTGTGTTGTGAACGGTAAGTTCTGGGAACAACAACGCCGCGCGGTGCCGGAAATGACCTTTTCACCAAGTTCTCAGTCTCCAGAGGTCGAAGGTTTCTCTGCTTTAATTCCCACGTCAAATTATTTGATGAAGCAAGGCAGTTGGGTATTCGCTATGTGCCATGCGCACTGAAGCCGCCATTAATCGACCCAACCCATCCCGATCAGATCCTGTCAACAGGCACTCGCGGGGCGTCGGTGGTCTAGTGTTTCGGCTCTCGGAGCCTCAACCATTAAGTCGCCAATTCGAATCCCATCAGAGACCCGACCACATCGTGTCCATAGGATAGGCAATTTACACGAATTTTCTGTTCACCCAGATGGGAGTGGGAACACGGCTATAAACAGCGAAAGAGAGCGTCAGTTTGTTCGAGTATTAGTGCCTGTAATCCGCAGCTTGCACTGAATGCTTCCCGGGTAGCTGAGAATATTTATGGGTCGTGTTCTAGGTTATGCTAGGGCAATATTAGTTTTAAAGCACAAAGAGCATACGGTAGAGCGTGGACATACGCTAAATAAATTCAAATATTATTGCTTTAGTCATAATCATTATTATTATTATTATTATTATTATTATTATTATTATTATCATCATCATCATCATCATCGTCATCATCATCATCATCATCATCATCATCATCATCATCATCATCATCATCGCCACGCAACAGACGCCGGTCGACCCTCGCATCTCTCAGTCGACGCTCAAATAAGAGAGACATTCGTGTTTTTCTTTAATCCAGAGCCGACTTATTGACAGGAATGGAGATGCAAGATCTTAAGTGACTCCACATACTGACGGCAACAGTTGCAAACCTTGTCAGTTCAACGAACAATTGTCAAGTGTGCGAGTGTCAAGCATGCCAAAAACTGGTTATACGTGTATTAATATGTGTAGTGTCATGGTAAATCAGGCGCTTGTCAAAATAATGAATCGAAGAAACGGATATTTTTACTCCTTTTGGACAATTGTCGCTCCGTAAACTTGCACCATCTCAAAACGTGAGGCTAGACGGTTTCTAAACGACCTGTTTAGGCAAACAGAGAACTTGATCAAATCCCAAACGTTGCGACTGCTAACGTCATTATACGGATATTATTGAAATCGGTCTGCATTCTGGGAAGCCGAGAACGTTTCTGAGTGCTCTCGGGTCTACTGAAGTAATTGTAGTTTTAAAACGAATAGAGCGTGCTGTAGAGCGCGGATGTTCGCTATATAAGCGCAATCATTATTAATACTACTGCTCTGCGTGCTAAGGCAGAGCGACGTAACTACACTTTTTATCATTTTGGGTTACGTCACGTTGCCATTGGAAATATGGGCATGGCCCTTCAGTTACGTCTGTTTGCCACAGTGTAATATCCTATTTGTAGTGCAGATACGGCTTCCTGCCTTTGACACAAGATGCAGAATGGGTATGGACGTCCATTTAAACGAAGATGCAAAAATTGATCATTTTTGCAGATACATCAGTCTGCCTTGGCACAACAGTTTACTATTACTTTTACTATTGCTAGTACTATTAGCTATTACGATTACTATTACTATTACTATTACAGAACAAACCGATCCTATTTCCCCCATGCACTTACTGAGTTGTGTCTCATTAAGCATCCCATACCAGGTGCCAAGGGCATGGTGGGGGCCGAGTCATTTTCCCCCC